AAACCATGCTGAGGTCTAAAATGCATGATGTGGAAATTAGAATTCATTTGGATGTTGAAAGGCTTGAAGCAGTTCTTGCTATGAAGTTCAATGTCTGTTTAACATGCAGATTCTATTAGAGCTCTTTATGAAGTTCATTGTATATTTCTCTTTTCTCAATTCTTTGTTATTTACTGATCCAACTACAACTGGCATAAATTATTCCAATGGCAGGGGAGGGGGTGTGGGGTCTGTATAATTGCAATCAATCAATCAGGTTAAACAGCCAGAAAAATTCACTGCTGCTGCGGCTAGAGCCTCCTTGACCTTTCCCTCCCAGTCAGTACAGGTGACCATCTATCCCCCCAGCAGCCTGCCTGACAAGGAACCTGTCTTGTTCTCCTTAATTGGGAGAACACGTGCAACTGGTTAGCACTCTGTCTGGCACAACGCAGCTGATAAAGACTGGGGAGTTACTTCTTTATTCGTTCTCTTCTTGTCTGTGGACCTCGTTAATTTCCTCTTTTTGGAGTCTGGTTTGTCCGCTTCCAAACCCACGCTTCTTGGCCAAAGCCAGCCTTACGATATACTGAGCAGGAGAACACCCTCATTCTGGGTTTCTTCTTTTCAGGAAAGAAAGAAAACATTCCCTCTCCTTTCCCAGCCCAAAATTAATATTTCCAATCCCTGTCTAGGTGCCTGACATTATTCCATTGGAGAACTCCCTTTTTTGCTTCAATTCTTTCACTCAGAGTTGCCTATTAAAATGCAAATGGCCCTGAGAAGAGTAACATTATCTGTGAACAACACCTGATCTGCAATGAGGGGTATGACAAAAGTGCCTCTGGCAAAGGCCTGGACAGGAAACACTCACCAGGTACCAAGAAGGAATTTCATGGAGGTAAAGGGGCCTGGAAAACTCTCCCAATTTGGCCAATGGCCCTTTCCTTCTCTATAGGTAACAACTGTCTAGTCGAGGACAAACACCTTCTTAATCTTGGAGAGGAGGAACTTGGGGTGAAAGCTCTTTAAAATTTAGGGTACTGAAGGAATTCCTACAACAGCACAGCATGTGGTCACCAAACAGTCATTTAAGCTCCAGTCTCCCTGGACTCCCCAGACTCCATCTTCTCTAAATATTAGTGAAATTGTTGTTCTTGAACCCAGCTACAATACTGTCAGACCACAGGGCCAAACTGTGACAACCTTCGAGGCTCTAAAAGGCCTTACTCAGTTTACTCCTTCCCAGTTATCTTTTCTCACCATCACATATTTAACCCAAGTGATTGCCACTGTATTCTGTGATAAAATTCCATCTCGTGTCCATGGAAATGTCATTTCCTCCAACTCAAATAGTTTCTTGTCTTTATTTAGAAGTTTAAAGTTATCATAATTATTTTGAAAAGGGTGGTCTTCTCTTTTTTTCAGACTCTCCACTTTTACTTTTGCTTGAAAATAGAGAAAACAAATAAGACAATTGTTTTAATTGCAAAGAACTGTGGCATCTCCCAATCAAATCCACTGTTTTACAGGTGAACTTACTAAAATCCAGAGATAATGCCAACTTAAAGACATCTTGAAAAATGTAGAAAGAGGACTGAGTTTCTGTTTCAGCACTTACCAAAATAATTAACAAAAAAAAATTGTCAAATATTTACAATATGGTTAGTGTGTTTGAAAACCCTACCCTTTGCCAAGAAAATTATCACAGACTACAATTTTAAGTTGGCCATGTCATATAAATATTTAATATAAGAACTTAGAATAACTACCATTTTAAAACTCTAAATTATAGACATTTTGAATTAACCACAGGTTTTATATTCCTGTGTACTTTAAATTTTCAATATTACTAAAATTATTTAATAACTCCCAATAACCTCTAAATCCCACATGTTTTAAAATGTAAAAAAATTCACAATTCTAAAACCACAGAATTGCAGTTGAAAGGATCAAGAACAGTGATGTGCTGGTAAATATTTAACAACTCGTTGGGATAGGAGGGCACCTGATTTGAAGCACTTTCCAATTTCCATAGTGCGAATACTTTGCCCAATTTCCAGTTACTAACATGAGAATGGGAAAGATGTGCATACAATGATTCTCATGGGCCCATGCAAGTCGGCACCAGCACATTCTGATAGAAGAGATAGACAGGGCAGCCTTTTCATTTCAGACCATTTCTTTCTTCATAACCCCCTGTATCCTGAATGCAATGACGTAACACCCATTCTTATTATGTTTATACACTTACCTACCAACTCGATTACAGAAGCTCTCAATCTTTTTCGGATATAAAACACAAATGTTTTATCTCAGGGTCTACCCCATTGACACAAATGTTTTATGTACATTTACATACACACATAAAACAAAAACAGAAGCCTCACAAGATAAAACACACACTCATTAAGTACAATGCACTAAAGTTTTTTATTCTTTTCTATTTTTTTTTTTTAATTCTGATCTTGATCCACTAAATTGGACTTCTATCCCACTATTTGGGGAGGGCCCGCAAAATTGAAACAGTGCTGAAACAGACTAAGCTCATTGAAGATAAAATTATATGTCATTAGTCTGTATCTATCCCTATGTCTAGTAGTAATTATTGAGACCCAAGAAGGTTAAGTAACTGCCCAATGGTGCCCCTGCAGTCACTGACAAAAGATCCTTAAAGGCAAGTGATAATTCATTAAACAGAATCAGGATTATCATGACTTAAAACTGAAAGCTAGAGTGCCTTCCAGGACCACCACCCCTTCACCAGAAATTGACAGAGAACTGACCTCATCAGTGATAAAAGTTTGGTCTTTTATCTATCATAGCCCTATGAACAACTCTGCCAGTTTACCTAGAAAAGAAATCTGAGCAACCACCATTTCCCTATTATTGATACTATTCACCCCTCAACAGGGTCGAAAAAGTACCCATCTTTTTCACGAAAATATTTTCAACCCTATAGAAACTACACAAATGCCAACTATTATTATATAAAATATACATATTTCTATGTAACATACATTACCATCAGCTTCCTGATAGCCAGAAGCCAAAGACGAAGTTAAAGAAAGTACTCACTCAGGAAAATAAAATCTGAATCCACGGACTTTTTAGTGTGTTCATGCACCACATGCTTTTCTTATAGGTGCTATGAAATGTACACTATAGTTTCAAGACAATCCAGATAAGCATCTTCACTAAAATACACAACACCATTAATCATCTCAGTGACAGTGCTCCAATTTAACATCTTGGGGATTTCCTCCCCTTCTTCATCATTTATTTGCCAATATTTCCTTGTTATGAATATCCCCCTAGTGACTTTCCCTGGCAGTCACAGCTGTGCTGCCTACTGTGTCTACCTTGACTACAAATAACACAAATCCTTTAAAAAAAAACAAAAACAAAAACAAAAGAACTCCAGCCCTTGGGATGATACCTACAGTTAGAAAGGTAGCCACACTGTAGGCTGAATTCCTAGTGACCTCATCCAAGTTCCCAACTTTAAACTGACAAGGCTCCACCTCTACTCTGATGATGAAATTTGCTTAATTACAAGTGAACAACAGTTGGCTGTTGGCCTCCAATTACTTGAATGGTCAATAGTTAACTGCTGCTTTCAGATGGTCCTTACAGGACCCCCTTCTTATACAGCAAAAAGTTTCTTCAATGTTTCCATGAATCACAACAGAGCCACCAAATCACTAGCAAGTCCTAGAAACCTGACCACTACGAGCCACAATAAGGATGACTTACAGATAACAAGAATTTTTCGAAAAGTATGATCAGTAACAATTTTGCATTTTAATCATACCAATTCTGATAAGAAATTCTGTCTAGGCAACGGAATATCAAGAAATAAAGTCAAAGAAAAATAAATAGCAAATATACAGAGAAGAGTCTCTGCTCCATCTGGTATCCATTTTGTGTCCCTTCACTGGCTCCAGAATTTGCTGACTGTAAAATGGAAACCATGAAAGAAAATGCTCCAACTGGAGGAGTAAATGAATATAGAACTCACCAGCTTGTTTTCGAAAAGGATTTTTAAGGAAAAGGGTTTTTTTTTTTTCAATAATGGAACTCCACTACAAAGGAAGAGTTTTTAGACAAAAAACACACCAAAGTATATTTACAAAGTCTATCTGGAAGGTCTGATGCCTTTAGTGAAACTAGGTTTACCTTACCTCATATTTTCTATAGAATAACTTATTTAATTAAAGGTTACTGTTGCTTCAGTCAATATTCCATAACTTTTATGGAAAGCATAAAATTTTATCCTTTTGGGAAGACTCCAATTTAGACTATTGTTTTAAAAAAAAACAAAAACTTCCTTCTTAGCCAAAGCAACACAAGTCAAAGCTCTGATACACTGAAATGCCTTTCCTTTCCAGAGCCAAGCGTTTACTTCAGTGATAGCAGCAACACCTCATTACCAACAGTGCAGATTCTGTTAAGTAATGGACAAAGCAAATGGCAGCAAAGGCAGAGGACTCAACTTCAATTTAACTGTCCTGTAAGGTACATAGTAATTAGCTGCAAAGCTCTGAAATCTTAGCTAGCATGTTAAGTCTGCTACATGACAGTATAATTTGACTTCTTAAAGGATTATGCAAATTACAACTCATCATTCCATTACAGGATTGAAAAAAAGTGACAGCTAATTTATACATAACACACCTTTCAAATCCCTAAGATGCGTAGCACCTGTGCAATGTATTTTGCCGAGATTCTCTTGCATATAAGTACTTGTTTATTGCAATATAAAGAAGCTTACCTAAGAGCTTTAATATAGTCATTTTTAAAAACTTTTAGACCACAATTTCAAAAGAATAGACATTTTTTTTCTGTGTTGATTTCAAAGGCAAATTTTGTTGGTTGTTTTTGTTTGGTTTGGTTGTTTTTTTTTCCCCACTATATTAGAGAAATATAAGGTTTCAATGCAAGGATATTTTCTGAATAGCTGGCAACCACAAGCACTGATGCACGAGCCAGAAGGAAGACTCACAAAGATTTCAACATAC